TTGGCTGCCAGTTTGTCTTTCCCCCTGTCTTCAGTTCATCTTTATACACCAACATTTAAATTCACTGTAGTTCACTCAGAATAAGGCTGGAATTTAAGTGCAGTTGCTGAAAGTGAAACGTGTGAATAGACTGGTAGCCTATAGACCAATTAAACCACTTTCAATGTACATGTATGTCTCATTCAAATGCACGGGAGCAGTTCAGGGTTTAGAGTCTTGCTCAATGACACTTCAGCTCTGGTGGAGCCGGGAATCTAACCAGAAACCTTCAGATACCTGCTCTCCCTCCCTGCACCACTCTGTGCAAGATTACTCATGTAAAGTTTAGACTGGGAGATATCGACCGGCTGCAGCCTCGTATAATCTCATCTAATATTAATTACATGGTCTGTTGTGACTGCCTCCTTCGACGTATGGTTACGATGCTACAGAACAGAAAATGTGCTGACTTTAATGAAAAGGGCCAAACCTAAAGATGTGGTTCAGAAAAATCCATCTTAAAAGGACAGTGAATGACAGAGTCTGATAATGAGCTTTGATCAGTGTCTAGTGTAAAACTACAGCAAACACAGAAAGATTAGCAGAATAGAATCAATGGCCTCTCAGTCAATATGCATGTTGTATTTATCATTATTCTGCAAGGCCAGTATTATACTTATTATGTGGCAACATGAGTGCCCACTGTTCACTTCTGTCTTGTGATGTGTTCACAAGAGGCAAGACACACTTTCTCTTCAACGGACACTGAATTCAATCAGATTTGGGTTGCACCATTTGACTTTAAAGCACAAGATAAAAAAAACACTAAAGAATTTCACCTTTACGTAAGGGCAATATAAACTGAAGATAAATCTTTTTAATGAATTATCTGGATTATAATATCTTGGTCAATCGATGTCTTTATCACTAAGTAATCGATCTACCTACTTTCTCTTTTGCATGTGTGCAGAGGGAAATGATTTTAACGACACGCAGTGAGGTCACTTCTCAGTTACAATATGAGTTTTCTTGCTGCCAGCCTACACTCAACACCTACAAAGATGTGTCACTTTGCACTATAATGTAAAATCAACACCACAGTTTTCTTGCATATGCTGCAGGACTTGACAACGTGAAGACCAGAGACGTGATCTGAGACTCCAGGCCCATGTACACAAACAGAAACCCGAAGACCCACACATGCAGACATGTAACACATCTTCCCTTGGGCTCAGCATCCAGGACCGTCTGCAACCTTCCTGTGACCCTGCATGTGTGGGCAGAGCAAAACCAGCACCACCCATTTCCACCAGCTGCTCTCATCAAACATGTGACTTGAAGGGATAGTTTGACAAAGATGAGTCGTCTTCCAGAACAAAAGACGGATCAATAGCGAGCCACTGAACAATCTGCTCACACTCACAGGCCAGAGGTGTGAAAAAAAAAAAAAAAAAACTGATGCAATGGCTGTTTCTGCTGCAGTACAATGCAACACACAGGGTGACACAAGCACTCAACATGCTGATTCACATGTGGCTCACACAGCTTTCCCGGCAACTGTGCACTGCTCCATGCATATTCAGATCAGAGGAGCAATAAAAGAAAGATCAGTAATCCTCCAAACAAAAGAGCGCGTATGCTTGATTACAGAGCCCAGCCCTGAGACTGCAGCAGAGATGCCCACCTGCCACACAGCCAGGGCTGCCTGGGAGCTAAAATGGAGAAGTGTGTGGGCTGGATGAGGAAGCAGTAAGGAAACAACAGCGGAGGAGATTTATCATTCAACAGTTGCTGGAGCAAAATGTTTTTACTTCATGTTTTCCTTTACTGATGTTTCATAAAAATAGAATTTATCACAACAAGCTTTAAACCCCACAGCCCCTCTGAGATTTACCAATTGAGGATGCAGTTTTGGATGGATGAATGATTCATGTGCTCAGTCCCTGTAACACTGATGATTCCAGTTAATGGCACAAACAAGATGAGGAAGGAGAAATAGGACACCATGGAGAGAGCAGCTGAAAAAAAAACAGAAGTGAATGGCTGGATTGTACTCACATGAAATCCCAGCAGGAGGGGTCAGCATTGCAGGCCGGGCAGAAGTCTTCCCATTGTCAGTGTCCCAGAGCCTCCACAACACAATCCACAGACTGCAGGCGACAAGAGAGGAAAGGGCAGGGTCTGTCTGGGAGGAGAAGAAGGGGACAGTGAGGAAGAGGAGAAGGGAAAAGGAGGAGACCAGGGGGAGTGGCTTACACGCAGCATTGGCCAACACAGCTGCTGGGAGGAGCCGAGGAGCCCAATGGCATATGGAGGGGGGCAGGGAATATGCAGAAGAGATGAAATCTCAGGAACTGACTGAGGCTCACACAGCACGGCTGCCTGCTGCAAAGGGGTGTGGCTTCCTGAGATCCCGCCCAGTTTCCCTAAAAGGACAAAGGATGCAGTTTTATCACCTTTAAGCTTTGAATTATTAGGGTGTAAGGAATTTCTGGAGTGCAAAGACAAAAGGGATGCACCTCCGGATAATGCAATCAGGCAAAAACAACAGCAGTTCAGGGCCTTGATGGTTTCAGAGCCTGTTTCCTTTTGTGTTACTCGCTTCTTGTTTTTTTTAAAACTATGAATATGAATTGATGATTATTTTCATCGAGTAAACAACAGGGAAATAAGAGCGAGGGCAGAGAGTTGGATGTGTGCAATCAGCAGGGGAGTAATACAGTTCATTGGGTGGAGTCAGGTAGCGGTGTGGGGGTTGGGGCACTTGATGATTCTATTCGGATTCATAATAATATAGAACAAGGAGTAAAACTGTTTTCACTTGAAAGTGCATCAAGGGGGAATTTAAGAATTAAGCAATTAGCTCAAGCTTATTAATCTAATTGGATGTTAAGTCTTTTAATTGTGGGAGAAGAGGGGGATGGGTCATAATTGTGACACGGAGGACGACAGAGAAAGGGATTGATGGATAAAAAAGAAATTGCACTGTGTTGTAATGTGGATGTGTGTGTGTGTGTGTGTGTGTGTGTGTGTGTGTGTGAGGCTGCATGCCGAGTGGGGGGGGTGGGCAAACACAGTCATCTCTGGGCTTTTATTCTGCAATGTGGAGTTGCCATGGCGACTGCTTCCTTCGCCGTAGTTAAGTCAAGATGGCTGCTGCTGCTGCTGCCTGTCTGGCACTGCAAGCTGCAGCAGCAGGGATCAGGTCACACAATTTAAACTGCAGGTGACTCTCACGCTCAGGATCTTGTAAAGGCAACAATGGTTTTTGCCAAATGAAAGAGCAAAGAATGCGCATTTTTAAAGTCCATCACAAGAGAAATTATTATTATTATTTGAGTGGGCTTTTCCAAACAGTTTATATAATTTGTTTCTTCATGGCTGCCTTTATTGAGGCAATACATCATTTAAAAACTGCTATAGCCTGAAATTATTGGGTAACAGATACCGAGATGAGATATAATCAGACAGCATGTATAACAGAAGGGGTGATTTTTTTTGGATGATGTAACAATAAAAACGATCATGCAATGTAATAAGATATGCTCTCTTACATAACCGTTATCACATTGCTGAATCAAAACAGATCCTACACAGAAAAATACGATGAGACTCAGTTGACCTAATAATGTCAAGAGATGCTATTTATTTGCAGCCGTTTGACACTGAAGATGTTTGAAGGATTTTATGGCTCACGTCGCACAAACTCTTCCATGTCTTCTCTTGAACTTAAACTGAACTGAAAGCTTGTCACGAGTGGAGCAGGCGTTTGAAATGTTTCCTGGACTTGCTGTCATCACACATCAAAACCTTTACAAACAAAGCTGTGAAAATTCACATCTGAACGTATAAGATGTGAATACTGCAACTACCTAAAATCTCATGTACCAACACTCTCATATTCATGTGTATTTATTTAAAAAAGACAACTCACACTTTGGTCACAATACTCTTTGGATCTCTGTAATTTCAGTGTTTATGCATCTTATAAATATTTTTTATCAAATAAATATTGAAAACATTCAGATTACTCCAGTTTAGACGAGAACACAACTCAACAGAAGGTCGTCGGTGCACTTCAGTCAAAGATCTGGACACGAGCCATAAAAGCTCATCAGTCTAACTCACTATAACTTCAGCGAGCCCTCATGTCTGCTCCTGCATCGTGGAGACGCTGGGGTCGAAGCATGGCAGAGGCACAAACAGTGTGCGAATACTGACAGGCTGGTACTTTCCATCATTAGAAGCCAGCGGGCATTTGCCCTTCTACCAACTTGAAATCAGCACCCTTCACTCTGCCACCGTCAGTGCACGGTTCAGCTGTGCTTGGATACAGGCTGCCTTTGTAACACTGACCCCATTTATGACAAAAACAATGGCTGGATTGAGTCAGACCCTGAAAGCATCAACGACCTTCTGCACTTTTTAATGTGCTTCTGTAAAAACAACAGAGGGAGGAGAATAACTATGGAAAATAAAACATAGAAATTATTGATGTAAAAAATAAAAATAACAGTGTTGTATTCAAGCAAACAGTTTATCAAAGTATCAAAAATAACAATCAAACCAAGATTACTCTATTATTATAGTCTGCTACCATGCTCTGCAATCATTTTACAATATTAGAAACACTGATAGTATAACCTCATTTATCCAACCATTTAGAAAACATCATTCCCTATGGATAAAAAGTTACGACTCCATTTTTTACATTGAGTGTTTCCATCATTCATTTCTTTTGTTTACTAGACAATACACATAATGTCTGGAAATAAACACCCTTCCTCAACAACACCTCCCCATGTTCCTGTTATATTCTGCCATCTAGTGGTACAACATGCACCTTTCCTCTGCACAACAACGTCCAATAATAMACCTTCTCTGACTTCTTCYAACCTTCTCTGACTTCCAACCTTCTCTGACTTCTTCCAACCTTCTCTGACTTCCAACCTTCTCTGACTTCTTCTAACCTTCTCTGACTTCAAACCTTCTCTGACTTCAAACCTTCTCTGACTTCTTCCAACCTTCTCTGACTTCAAACCTTCTCTGACTTCTTCTAACCTTCTCTGACTTCCAACCTTCTCTGACTTCAAACCTTCTCTGACTTCTTCCAACCTTCTCTGACCTCTTCCAACCTTCACGACCCATCGTCACAACAATACACCTCGATGACGTAATCACAAGCAACACTATGGTTTAATTCGCTTCGTTGGCTTTACATTTTTTATCTTTCAAAGTCTATACACCAGAACCCTTATGAACAGTTTCCTTGCTGCTCTGAAGTTTGCTCATATCTCCAAGGCGTTTGAAAAAGCTAAAGAATAGTCCAGACGTGTCGGTCTTGGTCCACGTGCTTTTGGGGGCAATATTTTCACTGTTCCTCTGCACGTGGTTTCCTGTGGGCTCCGTCGACTCTTGATTTTGCTCCCCCTGCCCTTCATTTGGAACATTGGCTGAAGAAACACTTGGCTTGCTTGTCTTCTCTGCTGACAAACTGTTGTCTTGAGAGTCCGATTTTTTAAAGTTGGTAGAAGCCTCACAAAAATCAAACACTTGTTTTGTGGGACTGTGCTCAGCAAACTTTGCTCTTGAAACAGGATTAGGAGTTCTGATTGGAGGCAGATCACACAGATTATCTTCCTCTTCCTGGGTTTTAGGGAAATTGGTCGGCAGTGTGTGGCGACGGCCCAGGTTGCGTTTTGAGGTGGCGGAGGGACTGATCAAAAATCTGATCAATTCTTCATTGGTTGGGTCTCCTGGATACCGGTCGGTTTCCTCATCAAAGGTGCATTGACGAGACAAAGTGGTACGCGGACCAGGAGATTTCTGATTTTCCAAAGAATGGTCCACAGATGCACTGCCACGACTGTTCTGAAAGCGCAACACCTTTTTAGATGCTTCTCTCAACTTCTGGGCTTCCTCCTCATTATTGTTCTGCATGTTCTTCTCAACATCATCATCTGTGGTGGTTGACAAACATCTGACTGAGGAGGAATTGCTGGGGGTTCTATTGGCCGGGTGTGAAAATCCTCTAGATTCCTCTTTTCTGGAAGCTGTCATCTCTTCTTCACAAGGAATCATACTTATTGCCTTGTTGTCCTCGACATTGGACTGGGCTTTGCTTTGTGAAGCCTTCCCTGTGAGCTCAGCTGCTGAATTCCATTCTTTTCTGAAAATCTCGTTGGCTCTAAATGAGCCGCATCTCTTTTCATTTGCAGGGGGGAGGTTTGCCTGTGAGGTAATTTCTGATAAGCTCCCGTTGTTTGGGCTGCCGCTCATGGGGCGTCCTTGAGTGGACAAGGGTCTTTCAGATCTCCTGCGAGAGCCACGTCTGGTAAGGAGGTTTTGTAGTACGGACTCTAATGCGACACTATCCATTTCCTTGTCTCTACTGGAGCAGGTAGCTGTGGACCTGCGCTTGGCAGCGATCTGTAATCTGTCTCTGTGTCTCCGCTTCACCTCTGCCACCTCTCGTGCCTTGTTATCCTGCAGAAATTCACACAGTTAATGGATCGATCACACATTTTTTTAACCAGGTGAGGAAAAGATGCAACTAGATATTCTTACCTGCTTGGCCCGCAGGAATTTTTCACAAAAGGAGTAGAAAATGGAGCAACATTCCTCCAGTTTGAACTTGCTTGGGTCTTCACAGAAGTAATCGGCCACTGAATTGCTCACTGACTGCAGTTCCTGAAAATCTGTCTCTACTTCGGCCAAGCAGACCTCAGCCTCCTATATGGAGCCCAAATAAAAAACAAAACACATAAGCACTTGTAACCGACCATTAAACTTCACAACAAACTCCAACAGAAGGATTCCTTACCTTTAGAAAATCCTCCATCTGTGTCCTTAGGTCATCCTGCTTCTGAGTGTCCACCTTGGCATCTCGTACTTTCTTTACCTGTCGTGCAAACTCTGCTTCAACTTCGCTTTTGTTTATTCTTAAAGAATGAAAAAAGTTGATTAATGATATTAAAACAAATAAAAAAGGAGGGTGAAAGATGATGAGTGCTTTTAAATCTGGAGAAATTAGTCACCTTGCTGCAGCTTCGATGTGTGTGAGTTGCTCTGGAAATTCAAGCAGGGCCATGTCGGCATTCTGAGCTTGCTGTGGTGGATAAGACAATGTGTATAAACATCACATGCATAAAAACAGCCTCTAGGATGCATTCAGATCAAAATAATAAAAGCTCCTTGCCATCACGACATAATGCATCAGATTCATTCCAGGTTTGTTTGCTTTGGTGTCCACCAGCTTCAGCAGCGAAGACATTCGAAAGCCGATTGCACTGCCTGCATAGCTTCCCTGTGATCAAATCAAATAAGACTCAGTGATGCACGAACACAAAATCAAATCATCCAAAACATTATACACTTACAGCATTCATGTAATTTCCAGTCTTCAGTACCAGACGAATGACAGAATGGAGATGTTCAGACTCCAACAGCTCTAAAAGAAGAACACAAGGTTTAATTTAATGCGTAAACTCTATTTTTGGGATAATTTATTGATTTAAAATCAAATATAGATTTCAGTACCTCGTCCAGCAGCCGTCAAAGTGCATATGAATTCTTTCATTTCATCCATGAGTGGGAAAAACTCCTCTTTGAGCACCAGGCTACTGAGACGCTTTTCATAACTGACACACACAAAGTTTCCATCATTAATAAACCACCACAGATATTTCAAACATACCTGAGATCACATTACAGGCAGCTTACCTGGGAATCTTCACCAGCCTCAGCATGAACTTATCTGCTTCAGGAAGAGCCGAGTCCTCACCCTTAAAACCGACTAGCTGCTTGACCTGTGTTCATTGAAAGAGCAGAAAACCCCACAATTGTTAAAACCAGCTTTAAGCTTGTAATATTGATATTAGAAGCAAATGAGCAGCTGACACAAGTACCTCCCCGTCGTCTGGCAGCAGCTTGCACAGCTCCCTCATTTTTCCTGCGCCAAAACAGTCACTGCGTCCTGATATGATATCTTCGATCATGTCTTTCATAGGCCTGTGGAGGGAGGTGGGGAGAGAGAGAGACAGAGAGATGGGGTTCAGATCTTTTAGTCATTTATGGTTTTCCCTCGGGTTGGGACATCTCAGGCGGAGTGTGTATCATATTAACACCACACTCGCTTGGCTGGAAGACGCCGACAAGCCTCTACCTGCCCAAAAATCCTCGCAAGAAAAAAAAATTGCAACACCTCTGGCACTCCTGATGTACAATGCACGGAAAAACAAATATACAAGACATAGGATTGATGAAATATCCTTTGACACCGGGAGAAAAACATTTCGAAGGTAAAAGCATTACATTTTAGTTGTTATGCAGCACAGCACTGGAACCAATTGCCTCATGGGCTTAGAAGGCCCCATCCACTACACATGCAGCTTTTAAATTCAAATACCTTTAACTAAACTATTTTACAAAATCTAAAGCCATACCACCCTGTTCTTAACTCTGCATCCTCTTTTAAATCTCTCTTAAAGATGCAGTTTCAGAGGTGTGCTTTCACCTATATCTTTTTTAGTATTCTTATCATTTGTTTTAAATCATTTTTTCTCTGAAACCTTTTTTAAATTTCTCTATTTGAATTTTTTCTTATTGTTGCTTTTTAACAATGTCCTACTGTTTGCCTTCAAGTTTTCATTTTTTAACATTTAAAGCAATTTTTCCAATTATCATTGCATTAAATTGTATTATTTTACACACTTCTATCTATTATATTTGTTTTATTTCACTCATTCAATTTATTCAAAATTGTTTTATTTATTTCATGCACACAACAGCCTTTGGCAATACTTTTACAATACCTCTGCATAATTGATCTGCGGGTTACCCAAGGGAGGCAACCTGTTGGAGCTGTAGAGCAGAGTATCAGACGTGCCAGGACACGCTGGCACTGAAGTGTTCCTGAGCATGAGACAGCCGTGTTGCAGAGTAAACTGCATGTGCCTCATCCTGCATTGTATGAGTACTGCTCCACAGAGATCACACCTTATGAACATATCAGCAGTGACTCACCGCTTGAATTGCTTCAGGAAAATTCCAATGTTCATGCTCCTCTTGGAGTTGAGGATGGAAACCTGGGAAGAGAAACAGACACAGACCTGGATATAATCAGCTTGTCAGTGGCGGAGATAATTTCACTGTTGTACACTGTTTTGTATCACAGAGACGTTAGCTTTCCAAACAGACAGTCAGTTCCAAAGGTTAAGAGTTCTTGTAGTTGATTGTATTGAACAATCAGGGCAAAGATACTTTTTTTTTTTGCATCAGTGATACAAGTTCTCATTGTCTGTCTTGGAGAAATTGATATAGGTCAAAGTAAAAAAATGTGGTGACAGACTTTTAACCCAAATGTTAAGATTGACTGACGAAATAAATGATAGAGAGACAGATATAAACAGATATGCTGAAAGCCATAAAGCAGATTCACTTTCAGTTAAATAGCAATAAATGTGGATTATGAACTTGAATACAAGAGACAAAAAGGCCAGTGGACAGAGCAGCGCTGCACGAGGACACAAGTATACCTTCCTTTAGCACACAGAGTAGAAGAATAGTGAGACTCCACCCTTGTATTGAAAGGGTTTCTAAATAAAAAAAAAAAATCTTACTAAGACAAATCTTACATTTAATACCTCCTGATAATGCAATGTATTATTATTTTATTTCTACCAGTGATTGCAAATGCAAAATAAGCTCAACGGAGTAAATACTTATCCAGGTCTACATAGAGTTTTCTGCATGGTGGTTTTTAGGTTTCAAACATTGCAAGAAAGTTTCCTGTTTATCCCAACACGAAACATCAATATGTTGCTCAATATATAAAAAATTCTAGACACTTTAATTCAAATCACTGTGGTTTAAGCATCACTCTGATTCAGCATGGTGTCATATCTGTAACCCTTCAGTTTGCTCACCAGTTCCCCTCCAGAGCCAGCCGACTGTTGTGACCTGAGACTTTGGCGGTTCAGGGCCTTGAGCTGCTTCTTGTGGCTGAACAGCTCCTCCATGTGATCCGTGTCCAGCTCGTACTCCCCTTCAATGTTATCCGAGGTCCAGATGTTGTGCTTTCCCACCACACTGTGTTTGGGAAGTGTTTCCCAATTGAAATTGCGCATCCTGGAGCGCCGCAGCTCCCCCTTGAAATTGATGCCCAGGCCATGCAGGGGTGGAGGAAGGCCATGGGCAGGTGGTGGTGGAGGAGGTGGCGGTGGTGGTGGTGGCGGAGGAGGTGGCGGTGGAGGTGGAGGTGGTGGCAGCAGAGAGGGTGGAGTGGGAGGACCCTCTGGTTGCATCTTTTGGGGACGAGCTCTCAGAGGGTTTGGGATGCAGCCATCATCGCACAGATGCAGGCAGGATTAAAGCCTATGAAGTGAAATATAAGCTGCTCTTTAATGGTTGTTTCTACAGGAGAGCGGTGCAGCTATTGTGTCCAAAATGTTTTCAGTTACGATGATGCATTTAAACTGAAAGAGACAGAACAGGGTGGGGACACAGTTACAAACATGTCCACCACAACTGTGACAGACATGGATGAAGCATTCACTGTCTCCACGGTAAATACTAATTTACTAATTTACTAATTATTGCTAATGCTGTAGTAACCAGTTTTATTGACATATGGAAGTCAAAACAAATGATGCAAAATGAAGAGGCTCAGCAGTGATGATATGAAATAATGTGTAATTTAAGACAAATCAGTAAATCAAATACATTAGTCAATACATTAAACTGAGCAGACACAAAGAGGTGTTTTAAGTAATGAAAAATATGATTTTATTTTATACAATTAAGATAGATTGGGATATGGGAATTAGGAGTTACTGTTAATAAATTAATATTGACTATGATTAATTAAGTTACAAATATACTACCTCAGTAGTTTAGTTGATATAAACATGATGATCTACTCCTATGGAGAAAGTAAAATTTAGTTACTGAGCTAGATAACCCTGAAGTCGACAAAAACATAATACGGATTTTGTTGAAAAGATGACTTTAGATAGCAAAGACAAGTTTTATTTAGCATAAAGCTAATCTATTGCTATGGAGAATGTTAAATTTAGACACTGAAAGAGATAACCCTGAAGCTCAGCTGGTGAAACATTCCATATTCTTTTTTAAGTATGTTTTAATGATAAAGTCTGATTTTATTTAGTATAAAGCTAATCTATTGCTAACCCTAACCCTAACCCTATATTAAGTATAATTGTATTGGTTTCCAGCTAAACGTAGCCTTTTGCTCATATAAGTAACAACAACATCTTTATTTATACAGCAATTCTCAAAAGAAAGTTAAAATGTGATTAACAAAAAAAATCACAAGAGTCAAAACACATACAAAGTAACATAAAACAGTCAAAAACGTAGCCATGAAAGAATAACAAACAAGTGTGACAATAAAAAAAGAATGAGGTCAATTTCAGCTACTGAAGCTACTGACTCATTCTGAACAACTGCTTGTAAAAGCTAACTCAGGATCAGGTTGAAATCTAAAAGTAAAAAACATAGCTCTTACCTGTATTAGTAATGATCCTGTGAAGTTTGCCTCTTTTCCTGCCTCAGCTCCCAGTCCTCCAACGCAAAGAGTGACATCAGACTGTGGAGCTCAAACTGGAAGTTGGAACTACCTACGTGTGAACGACACGCCCAGGTAGCCTCCACACCTTCTCCGCAGCAGGAGGAACTCTGGGAAACTGGAGTCATCTGCTGGCTGTGTTGGCTGTGTTTTCTGTCCAGCTTGTCATGGAGCTGTTATGTGAACAGTCCACTGGATTATAGACTGATTAACGTCCACACTGATAGGGACACAAATCAATTTCTTTTTTAAAGGTGTTTGCTTGCTTATAAATCAACTTCAGCCCCACACAAAAAAAGCCCAATCACTCCTTTAATATGGCATTTAAACTCTAATCCTCTCCACTGCCGTGTTCACTTTCAAGTTGGGTGAGAAAGAGATAGACAACACACACTATTCTTGGTTAAACATTAATCCATTTGAGCAGCTCACACAGTAGTGGATTGAATTTGTGCTGCTGCTGCTGTTGTTGTTCACTTTGGCCTTTAGCTGTTTGCAGGATAGTCAATTAGCTGCATGCACTTCTTCAACCCTAACCTACAAATGATAAGAGCTTCAGAATGAGAGATTTGAATGCATTTGTGTGCAAATCAGCTGGATCTACATTATCACTGAACTGAGGAGAAACATGCAGAAACAGTTTCAGCTACAGTTTCTGATCCTCTTCTGCAGAACAAAAGAAAGGAGTGACCCCTTTAAAACAATAACACAAATGCAGATGTGCTTAATCTTAATTTGAACCCTTCAGAAAGAAATGTGCTGCTGACGGTGCAGGAGAGTCTGATCAAAATCAGAGTTGGGGTGTTTTCCCAAGTATTTTTTACACATACAAGGAATTTGCTGTGGTACATTTGGGCATAAGAAGAAAAAAACAGTGTGTAAACATTATGAAAGTACATATATTTAAAAAAAGATATGTTTGCACAATATATTTAGAATATTAAATTATAATAAGTGACAGAAATATTGATTCAGCAATGAATAAAATAAAATGGCACTCTTTAACTAACGCTAATTAAAAAAAGGCTACTTTTAAAAGAAAAAAGTGTTGTAACAAAAACTCCTCCGAGTGGATCCATAATGACTGGGTAGCTTTATTCTAGGTATTGTGAGGAGAACTTTGACCTCTGGGGTCTGTGTATTCACTGAGCATGTCAGGAATATAGGAATGCTTTTATCTGCAGAGGCAGATTAGTGCAGTGTGTGATTTATTGTGTTGAATTCAGCTGTGAGTTTGTTTACTCGACTCACAGATATATACTGTATATATGTATATATATTCATCACCTGCACACACCAAACAAAAAACATCTGGCTTATTCAAGCTGCTGTAAATTAGGCCCAATGAGTTGTGTCTTATGCAACCGAGTGAATTTCTTTTAAGGAATCTCAGCATCGGTGGATCTGCAGTTTGAGGAGTGTGAAGAGAAACTGGGAGTTGGAAGATGGAGCACCAGTCGTTTCAATGTGCTGTCAATGGAGCCCATACTATTAACTATGCAAATACAATGCCTGAAACTAAGTCAGTAAATGAAAATTAACAGCTAATGCAAACAGGTCACAGGGTGTCTGACCAACTAATGTTTCAATAATACGTTTTTCCATTCAAGGTCTAAGTTGGTGGAGTTTTGTTTAGTGGAACTGTTAAATGGTTTGTGAGCTTGACAGAAGAATGTTAGAAAGACAATATTAGGATCATATCCCAAGTAAATTTATTGAATGCAGTTCATTATTTTTTTTAATGAATTTAGCTTTCCATCGCCATGGAGAACAATAAACTGATCCAGTGTATTTATCAAATGCAAAAAGGATGTTTTTGCTTTTGCCAATTGAAGGTTGTTTTCCCCCTGTCCATTTGTTTGCTTGTCAGCACAATAACACCAGAACAGATTTCCATGAAAATGGGCAGGAGGATGGGACATGGGCCAAGAAAGAACTCATTCAATTTTGAAAACAGGATTTCATTAATTATGAATTCAGTCATGGACAGCATGAGATATATCAGACTGTATTGCCATATACATACATATTACATACATTGTGACTTTTATATACATTCTCTTGTGAAAGCGCCCCATGTCAAAGCTACAGAATGGTGTCAACCGCACGGTTACGTGAAAGGAAACATCTAGCAGACTTTATTTGAGATGCAGAACAAGACAAAGACGATCAACTAGAAACTTAAAAGCAGAAGTTAGCGCAACATACGGTTATGTTACAAGCAGACAAGACAAACGGTAAATAAATAACTTAAAACAAGAATATTTTCCTCATACATTCGGACATTGAAGAGACGTTGGCATTGCAACCTGAAGCACGTATGTAATCACGTGTTCATTATTCCCGCTCACTATGTGTGTTCTAAAACCCGAGATTTTAAAAACTGATCCTCAAACACTGGCACCTGCTATTGTAACATAATCAGAGATAATCTTACACTGACTATTGTAGATTAAATTTGGATTCCTTTATGATAACTGAGACGTTTATATTCGTCATCTGTTTTTTGAGGCTTGGCATTAAAAAAGATACTCCCAGCTGTGCAGATGGGAATATCCAATTAATCATTTATGTGTATTAGGTTAGAGTAAAATCACTATATTGACAATATATATTTTCCCTTCTATGCATGTAAACTGTGAACTGACCATTCAGGCAGGTATTCCACAAAGCAATATCAGAAATTTAGAGGGAAAACTTTGAACAACAGCATTATATTCTGATAACTTTAAATCTGTAAAACAAAAACTTAAGGAATATGGTAAATTCATGCACACTCATGACTTTAAATACAATGTCAAAGGATATTTCTTAATATTCTTGACATTTTCCCACTAGCTGATGTGATTTGTGGAACTCCTCCACAATGGATATGATCTGACATATTAAAAATAACGCTTACGACAACATTAAAAAACCAAGAGAGTAACGCATGTGCAAAAAAGCAAAGGGGTATCTCCACAATAGTAGACTATACTGTACATATATAAGAAGCAATATACATGTAAATGATTGTGTACCTAAAGAATAGCTAAGTAAAAAGAGGTAACTTTGTGACTTAACGCAGAAGTTCTAAATACAACTGGGAACTTTTTTCCATCTATGTAAAATAAGATGATACTGGAAAACATTACAAAACAAACCCTCGGGTTTTTCCTTTATCACTGGCCGCTACTGATCCTACGATATACTCCTTTATACACTTGCCTCTTGTCCATCTTATTATAATGTCATGTTCTTCACTGACCAGCTTGTCACTGTACATCTCACACAGCCGAGCCCTGAGCGGTCTTCACTGCTCCTCCAGCCAGGACGGCTTGTCGGATCCCGGGGGCTTTAGCTTCACATTAAACTGTATTAGAGTCTGTTCCAGCTGCTGCTGGTTGCCAGCAAAGTAAGCTGAGATAGCATTATGGAAGAGGAGCAGCTGCTTGTGCATCACCTTCACCTAGACACAGAGAAGACAAGAAAAACCATTACGAACACAGTTTTAAGTCTCTGCAGGAAAGCACAGGCTATACATCTACTAGATCATTTTGTTAAGCAATCAAATGCTGTTCGATTGTCAGATGGCTCTGGGAGGATGAGAAAATTCCCCCACTGATGCACAAAAATATGTTGGATTAATTTAGGACATAGCACTTGTTTTTACTTCACTTTTTTCCTCACTGATGTCAGCGTATACGATAAAAACACAAACCTCTATTATGTTTTTATACATTTTGTAATGACAATGTTCTAAAAATGATGTGAGGTGGTTTCTCTTTCGTTAAAAGGGCTGTTCACATCAAAAGTAAATCTGGTGACTACAGACCTTGTTTTCTTCCAGGAATTTCAGTTTGATGGTGACATCACTGCGCAGTCGTTCATATTTGTCTCTGTGTATCTGGTACTCATGCTGAGCCATCTCGATGCGAACCATGGCAGCTGCATCCTTGGGGCCCAAGCTCAGCTCCTCCAGATCAGAGCGGTAGGCATCAAACTCAAGTCTGCATGTAAAAACAAGAAAAGCTGTCAAACACTCTGATCTTCCAATTATCACCCTGCACAAATTCAGATTATTTTCCATAACTTCTAAATGGTATGTCGAGCTGTGTTACCTTGCATTTTCATACAGCCTAATGGTCATCAAAGTATCCTCCATTGTTTTGTTCACAAGGGTGTTGATACTGGACACGAAGAAGTTAATGGCACCTAGGAGAGCTTCGCCATTTTTACACAGCAGCTTCTGTGTTTCTGCATTATAACCAAATTCATCCTGCAGAGGAAAACAGAGGTTTTACATACTTATCAGATTTACTTTCATTTCATGTCACATAGGGAGCATTGGCATTACTGTACCTGCAGCTCTGGTGACTTCTGGCTGAGGTCGGTGAAGGTGTCTCCTAAAGCCTGTTGCGTCTGCACCATGCTCTGGAAATGATTGATGAGTGCAGTGGCCAGAATTAGGATGTTTTCATACTTGCTCTTGGTGTCTCTTAACACGTCGATCTGAGCCTCCAGTTCCAGGTCTACTGTTCTCGAGCCACGGCCAAACCGCTCGGAAAACATCTGTTTGGTACACTGAACAGCCGACAAGGATAGAGATGAAATAAACTCAAAGTACAACAAATAGGAATTCATTATGGTAGTCAGTATTTACAAAAAAGTGCCTAATACCTTGTATGTGTTTATGCCCCATTTCTTGACACTATCTAGTTTCTCCACTGCCACACCTCGGGTAACTTCTTCAGTTGAATTACTGGGGTTATGGTTTGATGACCCTAAAAGAGAGAAAAAAAAGAACTTTGTTCATTCTAATCGTCTAATTCTTTTTAGGTTTACACAGCGGAGTTTTGAGTCTTTACAATGAATGATGGCGGTTTGGACATGAGCCTGGTGATACCTGGATGCTGGTCTGTGTGTTGGGCAAGACGACTGGCTGCAGATTGGCTTTTAGGCAAGCCAACACCCCTGGATTTCATGCGAATGTCTGAAATGAGCATGATGATGATAAAGAGTGAGGAAGTGAGGATGGCAGGGCAGTAGAGTAAATGCAGCAGAGTGTGTAAACTGAAAGATGAAGGTTAGGCTCCATGGTGGAGGATACATACTAAGTAGGAGTTAAAATGGGTTTTGAGATAATCCACCATGCAGGTTGCTCATGCAGAATAGAGGGATTTATTAGAAAAAATGAAAATGGACTTTATGGGATGAAAGGTAAGTACCAAGCAATGACAAAACAGTCATCCAAAGTGCATTTTACACAAAAGAGGACATCCGTAATGGACGCCATCACACTTCAAGTCACAGCCCTGTACTATCAAGTTAGTGCATCCTTCATTTTGACACCTGCCAAAATATGTCTTGTTGCTGAAGCTCAGAGTTGAGGAGGTACAAGCAAGACTGAAAACAATCTCCTTAGTCAAGCAATTTCAAAAACCTTTTACAGGCCAAGACAGACGAACATGTAAAGGTTAACTTAGAAAACAAAAACACGGTCGTTAGAGTACACAGCCACCTGGTCCTGGTGCAGGGGCTCGTCTTCTGTCCAGATACTCAGGGTTGTAGTGAATTGCAGGCCCTATGGGATATGGATGTTTGTAATATAAACCAGGAGCATGGAGGACAGCAGCTCTCTTGTGAAACATAATAATACAGGCAGGGAAAGGTCTTGGTATTGTTTCTTTGAGGGGCATTACGTAACGGCCTCCCTGTGAATGAAGGATTGCAACAACAGTGACATATTCCTGGTGCAGGTCGTCTTAGCCTGCAGAATGGGTGAAAGGGGGAATTTGAAACACGAATTGGAACGAACATTGAGTGGTTTGGAGTCTGAAATGTCACGTCCTGACAAATTCATTGTAGGGTCAGAACAACAACTTTTACTGTACGTAGCTTTAAATGTGTAATACCTTTGCAGAGCAAACTGTGTCCAGTGAACAGGGTAGAAGACAGAAGTTAGGGTTGCTTGCAGTACCTTTAATGGAGCTGGTTGGAATGATGCCCCCTGCAGGCCCACCGTAACCCCCGGAGACAATGCTGGTTTCATTCAGGTTGGGTCCGGACACCATCACCTGCTGCAAATCCTGATGGATGAACGGCAACATATTTGACATGACTATGGTTTTAACACACACACTTCCTGCTTCTCACTCTAATGTGACTGAATTACCAATCAGAAGCCAGAAAGGCCTCAGACTCAGGTAAAGGTGAAAAAACTACAGAGGCACATTTAATACATTATTACTCCTGCTTTTATGAAATGTGTAAATATGTAAATAATGAATGTGTTATATAACTTAACTGCAAACATTATAAAGACATAAATAAACTTCAGTGTGTAAGAGTTGGACAAAATGTATTTATATTTTGGCAGAAATTGAATATGAAATAATCCTAGTAATGTTTTCAATAATGTATCATTGTATAATTGTACCAATTGTTTTCTTTACCCTAGAATGGAAGCGTTATATTTAAAAACTATATATTTACATCTGGAGCAGGTCTTCTTCATGGAGGCTGCCATGTTTTTTTACAGTAGTTCAAACTGGACAACCTAAACATCAGAGTTTTTTTATGACGACTGAAGCTACCACAGGTTCTCTGTCATGTTTGGAAGGGGAGGGCGAGGTGAGGGGTGTCCAGCTGCAACATGCAACTTTACCACTAGATGTCACTAGATCCTACACGCTGAACCTTTAACTTTGGTGACATTCTGGCCCGATCAGCCTGTGACAGTCCCGCTCTGTGCACGTGAAACAGGATGTGACTGAGACAACATGGGACACGCTGACCTGCTCCAGGCTGTCATCCTCTGCCAGAGTCCCCGTGTCCCCATTGCTGTTGATGGGGATCTCCATGGTGGCAGCCTTGCTCATGATGCTGTCTGCCATGATGGAATCTCTGCAAGACGGCAACACGAAAAATAAGACTCACACACAAACACACACAGCTAGCTCACACTGCTGCTAGCACGGTGCTGATGTGGCGGCTACCTGACAGCTAGCTTGCTCACCAGTGTAGCGCCGCCGACCCTGATACCTGGAGCCGACTCCTGCCGTCCTTCAACCCGGACAGCAGCTTCGACACGTCGGGTAACTTCTACGTTAGAAACCACGGTCGTCTTCAGTTGCCGGCCAATGCCGCATCCATGACTGTTCGTCCCGTCGCGTTCACAAAAACCCGACAACCGCCTCCATTTACCTCAGTCTGAAAATCCCTGCATCCAGCCAGCTAGCAGCTTTAGCCTCCCTTCAAAATAAAAGTTTGTTTCATTTTTATATTCTGTTCTTTGATGGCATGGCTATGCTTAAAAAGTAAAACAAAATAAGATGAATCGTCTCAAATTTTTATTGAGTAAGAGTTAAAAAACGAAGAGTCTGGAAGTATGTACTGTGCATGTATGCTTTTATTTTGAAGGATACTACGTTTACCCTAGCGTCACCATCAAGCCCCCGCCCCCCCCCCCTCCTCCTGCTCCTTCGTCCACGTAGTGCAGTGCTGACGTTGCGTTTTACACCCAAGCTGCAGTACCGCCTCACTCCTCATGGTGGCGCTGACAGCTCACTAACTAGAAGAAGATCACAGGAAAACCTTGTCATGTCACATACACACACAGTGACTCTCCATCAGTGACTCCATGGAGCCGCTGGGCCCTCAGATGTGAGTATTAATCACCAGAGTTGAGTCCTGCTACGTTGATTGCAAAATATCTCCTGAAATCAAACTGTATAAATACGCTAGTTTGTTTTCTGATGTGAGACGCCTTGAGTTGGGCCTCACCCCTGGTAAACTGACCACGCTTCCAATTATCTGCCTCATTTGTTTCAATCAGGGATGCTAGCAAAGAGCACATGGTCTCCAAATGTAGATGTTTTTTTGTTTTCTTTCTGTAATCACTCGAAATCTGAGTTGAACCGAAGCTTCACACCCGCCTACGATTGATTCCCGTGGCAAAATAGTTAATTATCCTGGATGTGCTGATTTCCAGCACTGAACGTATTTTCCAAACATCTAAAAATGTCAGGTTGAGAAAACCTTTTCCCTTTTGGCCCCTTTCTCGCCTCTTCTTCTTCATCCTCATTGCACTCATCCTTCTTTTTTTCCAACTTCCGTACATGACTGAATTTGACTACTGCCTCCTAAAGATCAAAGTCAACAAAATGGAAAATGATGAAGCTGGGTTTTTCATGTTTTCTCCTTAATCTACAAATCAGCATGTCAAAGGCTATTTGACTGACATGATATTTTTGCTTTTGATCCTTCTGCCAAAATGCATAGATTTTTGGAGCATAATGTTGGACGGGGTATGCGGTAAACCATATACAAATATAAGTATAGGGTGAAGTATTCTTTCGCATGTGTGTAAACATTTGCAGTCATGCAATTCATAAGATATATCTTGAAGCACTAAAGTAGAATGTAGAAGTTGAAGGAACTGGCTCTTTCTCTCTTCGGACAAGCTCTAGTCTATTGTAGTAATCTGTTTTATACTGAGTGCAGTATGTATGTGACAAGGATGTTTATTTCTACACATTTTATTGCAAGTACGTAATTGAGAGCACCAGCTCATTTTTGCTGCTTTCTGTCTGTTGCTCTGGACATTTTTCGTAACTTTTCCTGCCAGTCCCCTTTATTTAATGGAAAATGTCGGTGTAAGCCCATGTAAGAATACAGCAGGAAAATATCCAGTGAGTTAGTGGGCGAATTGATGACATTTCTAAAAGGTGATAACCACAAAACTGGAAGTGAACAAAAATAATAGAAATATCTCAGGAGGAAAAAGAGCTGCCATATACAGACATAAGGAAATGTAAACCTCAAAAGACAATGAAAGTCAAGAGATTTTGCCAATAATGGCCGACGCCGGTTAATCTCCAGGTCTGTCCTTCATATGGGAAAATGAACTGGAAAATGTAGTGACACAATTCTTCTGAGTTTGTGTCTGAAAAGGGCTTGGGATTCTAAATTAACCTTGTTTAAGAATATCCAACTCTTCACTAATGGAACAAAGAGCTACAGTTGCTTCTTTCACTCAATACAGTAATATGTTTCTGATCATAAAACACACAAGTCAGTCAGTATTAACATGTTTTTTACAGAGGGCAGGAACTGAAGCCACAAAATTGTAAAGCACAAGGCTATAGCTGATCTCAAAGCTGAATGTTTCAATGGTTGGCCAGCTACCTTAGTTCCAGTTTGGCAAGTAAATAATTGAAAGTGTATGTTTTGACTTACTATTTGAAGAAAGAGACTGACTCAACATCCTTTAACTCCGGTACCTTTGACCTCCACATTATTCATGGGCCACAACCAGTCTGCCGTCACCTAGGTTTGAATTTTAAATATAGCTGTTTTGTTTTTGTCAAGAGGAGGTAAAGGAAATCGTGGACAGCAGTTAGCCTTGTACGAAGTTGCAAGATGTAATGAGCTACTTGAGGTTTATTAAAGTGGAGTTTATTCACATATTCTCCTACGTTTCACCATGTTAGTGTGATGAACATCACAGATGTAGCTTTGTAACAGTTTAATACTTTAACAAAGGTAGCAGTGGGGGGTTTATGCCAGTTGCAGAGCTCTCTTTACTTTCCCCCCTGGATATAAATTTTAAAACACAAAATTCTCACACAGGGAAATGTAAATTTAGTGTCCCTATAAATTTAGAACAAGGCCAAATTAAATTTTAAAGGTCTAAGGCGGGGTCTCCTTTGAGACTGCACTGACTGTCAAAAAGCCAGGGTGTGCATGTGAGGAGAGCGTGAGATCTAGACCGCAGTGTACCCTTCCCCCTGTCAATTTGCAGAATAGTTCATCTTGTTTTTTAATGATCATTAAGCATGGTTCCAGATGTTGGGCGGCAATTTTATCCTCACACAGTCCCCTGTGCTCTGCTGCAGCAAACAAGACGACTGGAGCGAGACAGGGGAATCCAGAAAAACATGGCAGAACGATGCTGCCTGCATCTTTAACTCCATGGGAATTACAAACAGGGCCCAATTTTTAAATTATAGAGCATATGGAAGTCATTTTCACAGTGACTTTAATATGCCATTTCAAACAGTCTGTCAACCTTTTTCCCAGTTGGTGGTTCAATCAATGGTCTCACAGAGAAACAGCAATTCATCATCATAATGGATCCTTGGATGCTGTCTATGTCGATTGTAGATTGTCTGCAAGACAACCCATAATCAAGAAGGACATATATTTATATGCTTCCCCTTTACTGAATATCACTCCCTTTAAAAAGGTTTCATTTACAGAGAATGCACAGACATGGTTCTGTGTGGAATAATGCATGTTTAAGAGAGCTACGTCAAATTTCTACAACACCAAACATTATTTTGAGTGACAGATGTTTTTTTCCTAATGTATCACTGTTGACATAAAGACTCCTTTGTTCCCCTTTTATTCTTCTATCCTCTCACTTTTGAATGCCTTCATTTAGGAATAAATATAGAGCTGTCAAGAGAATTTAAATGAAGTCCCAAACAACTGAGGGAAGTCATATCTGAATGCATGAGAAGAAAAACAAAAACAAAACTTCAGGGTATTATTCAGTGAGTGTGACATCCAAGACATTTCCAAAGTCGTTTTCAGTTTTCAAGACAGATTGACAACACAGAGCCCGAACACACTGCCTGTGTATGAATGTTCACAATGACCTGGGGTGTATGGCGTGAGAGCAATGGCCCCCATAAAACACAGACTGTGCTAATGCTCTGATGTTTTCAATTAAATTCACCTGCATAATCAGAGGGACAACCATTACAGAGGCCACAAATAAATTGTGGGGGCAATTTTAGAATCGTAAATCCCACAGAGGCCTTGCTTGCATTTTCACTGAAGTGTTAAAGCAGTTGTTAATTTTGTTTTCATGAAGGCTACCTTTGGTTTGCAGACAGAGACTGTGGTCAGGATATGCACGAAAGGGCATGTTTACTTTCTTTATACTGTTTACTTTCTATGCCATGCAATTTTCTGTGTGGCAGGTCTCTAATTTTGCAATCTCACCCATTCTAGTTTCCTGCTTTTTCTTTAACCATGAATTTGGACTTCTATAGGAAAATAAACTCCAAATATGCATTGTATATATACATATTTAAAGATAGTATACAGTGAATTAGATTTCAAATAGCAAACAAATGCAGAACAATGTTTTCAATAACAAATGTACATAACATGAGTTTTCTTATTTTGTTCATAAGGAAAATAATTGTCCTGAGGATTTCCTGATGCAACAAACATTTTAAACTTTAAGATTGTTTCCCCTGAGTTCACATTTGTTCAGGCTGCTGCACACAGTGCGCTCCAGTTGTAATCATGCAGCTTTTCCAGCTATGGACGGCAGTGACCGTTGAGTTATAAAACTACTGTGTGCATAAAGAAAAATATAGTGTTGGAAATCTATACAAACCAGGGTGATTTGTGGACATGCAGCCACATTTTTATGGGATAAATGGTAGATAGGAGAACTTTTTATTCTAACAGATCGCATTACCTTAATTTGAAAATGTTTTTTCTTGGAAATACTATAATATCTGCAACCATGATTACATGTTATTAATGCAAATTATATGAAAGTTATGAGCAAAACAAAAAACGTGACCAGTGTCCCAATAAAGTATACCAATAAAGTTTTTTTCTCCAACTACCATATGTCCAGTTCTGGTTTGGGATAGAGGAAGCAGCACTACTCTCCTAGAACTTCCTCTTTTCTCCTGGGATGATCCCGAGGTGCTCACCCACCATGTGTTCGACTCCAGTATCCCTTGAAAAGTTAATTTGTACTGCACAGAATATATTTATATAACTGTTCATCGTGCTCACATGGAAGAAACCTGGGAGGAGGCAGAGATTCCTCCTTCTCAGACCACTGAGAGGGCAATGTGATCCATAAT